TGTCATTCAAGTGAAGCCACAGAGACATTATGAAGGAACAGAACATCGGTTCTACAGTGTGGTTTAAGGTCAGGCTGCATGTGTTGTGCTCAAATTCACTTGAACCTATTACTCATTCATTTGCATTATTTTGAATTCAAACCTTTCTGAAAAAGTGACCCTGCGGCTCGACACTACATTCAAAAAATGCACCATTGCATTCTGGGGCAAAAAATGGCACATCAGCCTCTTCTGCTATGGTAGTTTTCTACCTATGTGCTTATCTAACATTGGTGAGTTTAACAAAGGGTTTCTACTACTCACATATGTTCCATTCAACTGTATGTTGTAGCTAAACCAAAAATATCTCAGTGTGGTTTAAATAATTTATGTTTGGCAATTTAAACACAGAGCGTTCTCCAGCAAAACAGAGCCAAGAATTTTAATCACTTAGAAACCAACTTTTCAACCTGTAAGCTCTCAGCTGACCATGAATACAGAAAAAAAGAGCTCCTGTCAGAGCACTACCTGTCACAATTTGTCTATCAAAACATAATGCTTAAAAAAAGAGACTACTCACAACTTCCCCCTCCTTCCCTCCAAAGTCAAGGAACAGCATGCGAATTCCATCATCTGAGGACATCTTTAGTTTTTCATAGGGGTATGAGAGGAGCACTCTGGGCCTGGTAGGGGTATGTGCTCCTCTCTCCTCCCCATTCTCCCCCTCTGCCAGTTTGGGGTCAGCCAGCACAGAGAAGCCCTGTTCATAGTGAATCACCAGGCGGCACTCCTGACCCCGATACAGACAACCTGCAAGACAAACAGAGGATGGTTATCATTTTAAAATTTTTAACAAGATGTTCACAGACAATTCCTCTAGTCTAATCCATATTTCCATGCATTAACAATGTGAGGAACACAGAAATAAAACTTAGACAGCAAGCCAGAATGTGAATGCGCCCTAGAGTAACTAATTACAATGAGGTGTATTTTGGTGTTTATGTAAATAACAATGTAGTTTTAAATATATAATGGTCTTTAAAGGACTATAAAGGACTTTAAATACTTTTTAATATCCCATAAATATCAGCCCTCCACTATACTGACTGTTGTAGTTACCTAGTTTGTACTAACAAGCTGTTTTTACATTCCTCAGGTGAAGGGGGTGGGTATCTGTTTACTCCCAAACAATCTGAGTTTGAAAGAGGCTTGGGCAGACTGGATTTGTGACACCACAAATTTGGACAGTCAAATATGGTTCGACAGGTTTTCCAGAGTTAGAGAGAAACCTGAAGCCTCTGGGCTCAGCAGCTGAATCTAACTTTTCAGCACCAGGAAGCGAAAGTTGTATCTGTTGACAGCAACTATGCTGAAGTGCACAGTATTTGGATGTAAACTGGACCCTGGAGCTGTAAATATATTTGCACATTGACTTATATCTCTTTTATACAGTATTGCTACGCAATGGGTGAATAAGGCTCAAACATAAACTTCCCCCGGCCTATGTGGGGGAAGTGGTGGTGGGTGTTAGGAGGTGATGTATTCATATTTGCATATATTTGAATATTCATAGATCTTGGAATTCACAATGAGGGGCAAATGTTGAGTCTTATTACAGAGGTTCACTGAACTTTTTTTTTTAGGAAAAACTTTGCTGGAATATATATTTTTTATAGCAGAATATTTTTTATATGCAGGTATAAATATTAAAATGTCTCTGGAGTGGAATTTTAAAAATGTTATTTTCCCCCCCGACCTTGGAAAACCTTCTGCTTACTTTTACAGGGATACATGGTACATTTTCTATAGTTTAATGACTTTTGTGCCAAGGGCTTGGCATGGAGTGGAATGGGCAGGGCCATTCAAAATGAACAGTGCTCATTTTACCGTATTATGTTGGATGCTTGTCTAAAGTACTTTGATGTAAGAAAGATGAATAATGTCCGTACAATTTCTTTTTCAGCTGATTCTAGTCATACAGGTGATCATGTGGTTAGAAAAGATACAAAATCACATATGAAACAATAAAACTTGCTGCCAGGGCCATAAGAATGCTCTGCATTACAGTACATGAGACAAACCTGTCTCATCTCCACACAATGTTATCTAACTGCGTTCAGTCTGCTTTTTTCCCAGTCTTGACAGCCCCGACCCTCTCATGGCTGTTACTCCATCTAATTAACTTAAACTGTACTAATCCCCTAACCCTCTTCCTTGTTCAGCGATTTACTGAATGGCTCATTTGTAACCAAAGCTGGCGCACACACACATCTGACTATGGTCAGGCACCATTATCAAACAGTTCTTGTGAGTCTGATTTTCCACATGCTCATTTAATTTAGATTTTTGCTAACTGTTTAGAGATTTTTCTTTTGACAGCTAGCCATTTAATACATGTATACAAGTGCAACAGTTTACTAACTA